AAAATAATGAGTCATTATTTATGATACAAGGTGATTTGTAGATAGTGGTGTTGATGCTAAAAATTATTGTTAACTTTCTCGAAATCTAAATGCACAATCTATATTCAAGCCAATGTCTGAAGTAGTTAAACATGTTATTGCTCCAACATTGTGAAAGTGACAAACTGACACCAACCTGGACTCAGTGGTAGATGTAACATAGGAAACGTAAATCCAGGACACTCCAATAGCATGATACATTATATGGCCAAAAGTATGTGGACACCCCTTCAAATTAGTGGATTTGGCTATTTCAGCCACACCCATTGCTGAAAGGTGTAGAAAATCGAGCACACCGCCATGCAATCTCCATAGACAAACATTGGCAGTAGAATGGCCCGTACTGAAGAGTTCAGTGACTTTCAATGTGGCACTGTCATAGGATGCCACCTTTCCAAAAAGTTAGTTTGTCAAATTCCTGTCCCGGTCAACTGTTATTGTGAAGTGGTAATGTCTAGGAGCAACAACGGCTCAGCCGCACAGTGGTAGGCCACACAAGCTCACAGAATGGGATCTCTGAGTGCTGAAGCGTGTAGCACGTAAAATCGTCTGTCATCGGTTGCAACACTCACTACCGAGTTCCAAACAATGCCCCTGTGCACAAAGCGAGGTCCATTCAGAAAAAGTTTGTCGAGATCGGTGTGGAAGAACTTGACTGGCCTGCACAAAGCCCTGACCTCAACCCCATCGAACACCTTTGGGATGAATTGTAACGCCGACTGCGAGCCAGGCCTAATCGCCCAACATCAGCGCCCGACCTCACTAATGCTCTTGTGGCTGAATGGAAGCAAGTCCCCGCAGCAATGTTCCAACATCTAGTGGAAAGCCTTCCCAGAAGAGTGGAGGCTGTTATAGCAGCAAAGGGGGGACCAACTCCATATTAATGCCCATAATTTTGGAATGAGATATTCGACGAGCAGGTGTCCACATACTTTTGGTCATGTAGTGTATGTTATGTTTCCTATGGTATGTATTAATTTGTGGATGTGCATCATCTATTTTGTATGATATGTTATGAATTACAATTCGTATGATATGTTAGAAATTGAAAATCGTACAATATGTTACGGATTGCAATTCCGTGCATTTTACAAATTAGCAAAACTTATGATATGTTACAAATTCCAAATTGTTGTGGCGAACGTTAGCTAGGTGGCTAACGCTAATGTTAGCTAGGTGGCTAACGTTAGTTAGGCTAGGGCTTAGGGGTTAGGGTTAAGGTTAGGAGTTATGTTAAATGGTTAAGGTTAGGGTTACCTAACATGGTAAGTAGTTCGAAAGTAGCTCAAAAGTAGTAATTAGCTAAAATGCTAAAGTTTTCCTTGATGAGATTTGAACACACAACATTCAAGTTGCTAGACGTTTGCGTTATACAGCTACCCATCCCCCCCGACCAACCAGCCTACTTTAGATTTTTGCCTTAAGTAATCTTCTGTCTTATATAATCATTCCAAACGTAACATATCAGACTAATTTGAGTGACCCGGATTTACATTTACTATGTTAAGTCTAGTCTGTGAGACCAGGCTGTTATATCGAAGGACTGCCTTTGATTTGACACATGCACAGTTTGGCTTGAGACCACCGTTAGACCCGATGATGTGTTTCTAAGCATTAACTTAGCTAGCCAACGTCACCATGACATCGCCTACAAGTTAGCGGACTAAACTCCACTCCATGGTGAAGAAAGTTTCTGATGAATTTCACCAATAGAGCCCCACATTGGAAGTGTTATAACACCCATAAAACCTAGCGGTCAAACAGGAAAATGGTTCAATCGTTTGTCCACCATTCAGTTTTCCCATAGGGAATTTTAGAAACAAATAAGGGCTGTGTTTCCTGTAGGCTTACCCTGGCATGACGTTTTGATAACCATGTAAATCTCTCTCGGACAAGGTGATTTTTATCAATATATTCTGCTCTATTTACTCTCAGATTTGAAAATGCCAATTAGAATCAAAGTCAACATCATACAAGACTACAAATCCCTGCAAGCTCCTGAACGTCATCTCTAGCTGACACCTTTGCTAACAGGTATTGTGTTAATCTAAACCTTGCACAAGACAGTTCACAGAATTGTCAATTTAAAGAAATGTAGCCAATTTATTATTTACTAAATTTAGCTAACATTAGATAGTTAAGCCAGAGATTCATACCTTTGCTTTGATTGGGCAGTCTCGTCCAGGTCATCATGGCATTTGTAGTTCTTAAAAATAGCAGCTAACTAGCGTTTCAATTTGGGAGGGTAAATAAAGGAGGATATATTGATAAAAGTCACCTTGTCCTAGACAGATTTACACGGTTATCAAAACGTCAAGCCAGGGTAAGCCTACACGAAACACAGCCCTTATTTGTTTCTAAAATTCCCTATGGGAAAACTGAATGGTGGACAAACGATTGAACCATTTTCCTGTTTGACCGCTAGGTTTTATGGGTGTTATAACACTTCCAATGTGGGGCTCTATTGGTGAAATTCATCAGAATCTTCCTTCACCATGGAGTGGAGTTTGACCGCTAGGTGAATGTGTACTATGATACTCTGCGGAGGGAAGCAGAGACCAGGCTTTGTGGAATCTAGCTCTGATTACAGCGAATCGCCCAAGGTCAATACTTTTTTGTTTTGTTTTATGTCTGTCCTCTGTAGTTGGTTGCCTTTCTTTGTTTGCTGAATCTATACTTTTTCAATAAACGTTAATCAAATACAACCACCAACTGTTTCCTTGTTGAGATTCAATAGGCACATGAACATTTGCGCCGAGTTGCCATCTTAGAGCAACAGCAATGAGGAAACAATCGGTGGTTGTATTTGATTAACATGTGTTGAAAAAGTATGGATTTAATATTTGTATTTAAAAAAAATAAAAAAATATTTGGTCTCGGCTCCACTATGTTGGTGAAGTCAGAGAGGAAGAGGAAGAGGAAGAGAGGCCCAACTCAGCAGAACATCTCTCCCTCCAGCAGGTGGCGTGTTTTCGTTGTTTCGCCAACCAAGCAAGGAGCTTTTGCATGGAGGTCAACGAGAGTGTCGAATTTGGTCAACAAAGAAATTAATGGCTGATTTGCTACGTGAGGTTTATTTGATCCAATATTAGTTTAGTAATGCTTAAGTTGTTACTAGTGTATTGATATAAGTAGAACACGTGACATCCCGGCAACTTTGACAAAAAAACACTTTATATCGGAGTTGTCTCGAGATGGCTATGCATATTCATGAATACAGACGGTTGACGTCAACAGCCCTTATCGAATATTCAAAAAAGATTACAACAATGAGATGTATTCACCAATCCAAAGAAAGGATAGGCAGGAGCTAGACAGCCCATCGTGTCACTTTGAGGACAACGACTCCCATTGTTAGGGCGGAGAAACATGTATCTTGTCAGTATATCCATAATCTTTGGTGAAATTCGTCATAAACTTCCTTAACCATGTACTGGATTATAGTCCGCTACCTACAAGTATGATTGGGGATTTCTATTGGAGAAGCAGTTTATGCCTATCTTCGTACTGTACTGTCTGATATTATGCTCGCAGCACGACCTCGAAATTGTTTTCTTCAAAATAAGAGTCCCCCTGCAAAGACATGCTAAACTTTGGGAAATATAATTTTTTTTGCACTTCCCAGTACGACTGTTTTCCCAAGTCACATTACCGTTGTCTTAGCAGCAGGATATTATGCTCGCACAATCGAGTCCCCTTGTTTCTCTCTGCATTTTTGGGAAGGGCCCATTAGTAAGCATTTCACTATTAGTCTACCCTTATTGTTTATGAAACGTGACAAATACAATTTGATTAGAAGACATGTTAAACTTTGGGAATATCTATTTTTTTCTGCACTTTAGCGAATTTTTAGTACAACTGTTTTTCACCGCACTGCAACCACCTTTAAAAAAATGCATTGATAATTTGACATATTTAATTTTTTATATTGAATGATTCATAAGCAGCATTTTTTTTTTGAAAGTTTACACAGATACTGGTATGTTGAAAGCTATTGTGTAGACTATATTTAATAAAATACAAATATATGTTACTAGAATTACTCAATAGAGTCTGTAAAACTGAAATTGGTCTCCTGTGCTGGGCAACAGGTTTAATACAGAGTATTGGTGACTCCTTACTCCACCCACTCCAGACATTGCAATGCAAAGCAATACATGGTATATGGGAGGGATACTTATTGGGTTGCAGAGAAAAAACTTGACTACCTGTCTCATATAAACTGGGGTGGGAAATACTCAGTAGGGTCTCTACTAACCAAATATGTGCTGTTTTGGAGGGGGACTGTGTTGTACAGATCCATCAGCACTTCGTACTCGATATTGGCCAATATGTATCCCATGTACAGTGTATTACAGTGTATTGCATTGGGGGCCATGGAGGGCCATTGGGGGCCATGGAGGGCCATGGGGGGCCATGGAGGGCCATGGAGGGCCTGGAGGGCCATGGAGGGCCTGGAGGGCCATGGAGGGCCATGGAGGGCCATGGAGGGCCATGGAGGGCCATGGGGGGCCATGGAGGGCCATGGAGGGCCATGGAGGGCCATGGAGGGCATGGAGTACGAAGTGCTGATGGATATTTACGGCACAATCCCCTTCCAAACGACACATATTTGGTTAGTAGAGACTCTACTGAGTATTTGAAACCACACTGTAGCTGAGACAGGTAGAAAAGTTCTCTCTACAGCCCAATATTCTCAACATACCAGTGTCAAGATTGTATTTAGTCATTATTGGTCTTAATTATTATTATTTTTACCAGATTTTGTATTTGTTTTCAAAAATGACTTATTGCCTTTTCTTGTTGGCACAATAAAAGTGACCAATAATTAAAATTAAATCTCTTTTGAATGAGTTATCCACATTGCAATGTTTTGAAATGCGGGCTTTTATTTTGAAGGTTCCCTCACTACCATACAAACATGACGTTATCATTTGTGCTGCTTTCAGAATAATAATGATCACATGACCAGAAAACGGAAGTGGCTTTTGAAGCCACATAAACAATCGCTATCTGACTGTCATTCAAACAAACCGTAATACAAACGCCTAATTTATAAGAAAACCACTATTTAATCGTGTTTTATCTAGATCTAAGTTGGGATAGTCGCCGTGACCTCTGCTCGTCGAACTGTGAGACGGTAGGAAAGAGAGAGAGAGACCGAGGGAGCAGGAGGGAGACGGAGACAGCTAGAGAGAGAAACAGACAGCGTGAGACAGAGAGAGGGAGAGAGAAACAGAAAGAGAGAGGGAGATGGGTCTTTCAGAGAAAGAAGAGTGTGTCTTGTTGGATAAGAAGCTTCTTGTCTTTATGGACCAGCTGGAGCTGCTGGAGGAGAAACGAGGGAGACTCAACTCTCTAATTGAACAGGTAACTTATAGGATGGAAATCACATGATTTCTCAAGGGCTAGACTGTCTTTGATGTCTCGATCAGGGGCTTTACATTATGGCTTTACATTATGTGTGTCTGAGTGTATGTATGTGTGTGTTACAGGGATGGTTCTCCATGTCCAAAGCGAGGTATTCGATGGGCAACAAGCAGGTGTCTGCTCTGCAGTACGGGAGTGAGATGGAACCGCTGGTTCGAGTCCACACCAGGTGAGTGGTACGTCAGGTCCGAGTCAGTCCACACCAGGTACGAAGGAGATGCGCTTAGCCAAAGCCTGTATCAACATTATAAACCATCTATAACTTAGCTACATCTATACGATGCAACTCAGTTCTCACCATTCAATGGACTCAAACTTCCAAGGCATGTCTATTTATCTACTGTGTAGTAGAGAGTATATATCTGGGATAATGATGTCTGTGTGTGTATCATAGGACTCTGGAGAGTGGTGAGGCTGAGTTCCAGACAAAGAGAAGGACTCTGAAGTCTCCTGAAGAGAGACAGGTGGAGGACATTGGACCTAAAGACAAGGAGGGTAATGGAGCACCACTGACTAGTTTAGGCTGATCTAAAATGGATTACATTGTTTTTTTTCTCATCACACTACACACAATACCCCATAATGATGAAGCAAAAACAGCTTTTTAGACATTTTTGCTAATTTATTTATAAAAAATATATATGAAATATCACATTTACGTAAGTATTCAGACCCTTTACTCAGTACTTTGTTGAAGCGCCTTTGGCAGCGATTACAGCCTCAAGTCTTCTTGGGTATGACACTACAAGCTTGGCACACCTGTATTTGGGGAGTTTCTCCCATTCTTCTATGCAGATCCTCTCAAGCTCTGTCTGGTTGGATGGGGAGCGTCGCTGCACAGTTATTTTCAGGTCTCTCCAGAGATGTTCGATCGGGTTCAAGTCCGGGCTCTGGCTGGGCCACTCAAGGACATTCAGACTTGTCCCGAAGCCACTCCTGCGTTGTCTTGGCTGTGTGCTTATGGTCGTTGTCCTGTTGGAAGGTGAACCATTGCCCCAGTCTGAGGTCCTGAGCGCTCTGGAGCAGGTTTTCATCAAGGATCTCTCTGTACTTTGCTCTGTTCATCTTTCCCTCGATCCTGACTAGTCTCCTAGTCCCTGCCTCTGAAAAACATCACAGCATGATGCTGCCACCACCATGCTTCACCGTAGGGATGTTGCCAGGTTTCCTCCAGACATGACGCTTGGCATTCAGGCCAAAGAGTTCAATCTTGGTTTCATCAGACCAGAGAATCTTGTTTCTCATGGTCTGAGAGTCGTTTAGGTGCCTTTTGGTAAACTCCAAGCGGGCTGTCATGTGCCTTTTACTGAGGAGTGGCTTCCGTCTGGCCACTCTACCATAAAGGCCTGATTGGTGGAGTGCTGTAGAGATAGTTGTCCTTCTGGAAGGTTCTCCCATCTCCACAGAGGAACTCTGGAGCTCTGTCAGAGTGACCATCGGGTTCTTGGTCACCTCCCTGACCAAGGCCCTTCTCCCCCGATTGCTTAGTTTGGCCGGGCGGCCAGCTCTAGGAAGGGTCTTGGTGGTTCCAAACTTCTTCCATTTAAGAATGGAGGCCACTGTGTTCTTGGGGACCTTCAATGCTGCAGATTTATTTTTTGGTAAGGCTGTAACGTAACAAAATGTGGAGAAATTCAAGGGGTCTGAATACTTTCCGAATGCACTGTAGCATTACTTATTATGGCACTGACAAATCAGTTTATATTGAATTATTAGGAGCTGTGCCTTGGAATCATTAACTTGTGGATACTATGATGTTAGACCCCTCATCTGGCTGGTTGTGTGTTGGACCTACAGGTGTGAGGAGAAGAGTGAAGACCAAGGAGGAGGTTCCAGAGATGGACCAGAGTGACAACAAGCAGCCGTCTACAGAGACAGAGCCGGCTCCCGCCTCCAAACCTGAACCCAACCCCCAGCAGGACCCACTGAAGTGGTTTGGAATCCTGGTGCCTCAGACCCTGAAACAGGCCCAGGCCTCATTCAAACAGGGTAGGCTACTGTCTGTCTGCACCAGTATGGATGAAACATGAACTACATTCAGTAAGATTTTAAATTGTTAGTAGATGTGTTCTAGAACTTGCTAAACTGTACAGTTGTGGTCAAAAGTTTTGAGAATGACACAAATATTAATTTTCACAAAGTCTGCTGCCTCAGTTTTTATGATGGCAATTTGCATATACTCCAGAATGTTATGAAGAGTGATCAGATGAATTGCAATTAATTGCAAAGTCCCTCTTTGCCATGAAAATGAGCTTAATCCCCAAAATTTCAGGGTTAGGGTTAGCCTTTCAGCCCTGCCACAAAAGGACCAGCTGACATCATGTCAGTGATTCTCTCGTTAACACAGGTGAGTGTTGACGAGGACAAGGCTGGAGATCACTCTGTCATGCTGATTGAGTTATAATAACAGACTGGACGCTTTAAAAGGAGGGTGGTGCTTGAAATCATTGTTCTTCCTCTGTTAACCATGGTTACCTTCAAGGAAACACGTGCCGTCATCATTGCTTTGCACAGAAAGGGCTTCACAGGCAAGGATATTGCTGCTAGTAAGATTGCACCTAAATCAACCATTTATCGGATCATCAAGAACTTCAAGGAGAGAGGTTCAATTGTTGTGAAGAAGGCTTCAGGGCGCCCAAGAAAGTCCAGCAAGTGCCAGGACCGTCTCCGAAAGTTGATTCAGCTGCGGGATCGGGGCACCACCAGTGCAGAGCTTGCTCAGGAATGGCAGCAGGCAGGTGTGAGTGCATCTGCACGCACAGTGAGGCAAATACTTTTGGAGGATGGCCTGGTGTCAAGAAGGGCAGCGAGGAAGCCACTTCTCTCCAGGAAAAACATCAGGGACAGACTGATATTCTGCAAAAGGTACAGGGATTGGACTGCTGAGGACTGGGGTAAAGTCATTTTCTCTGATGAATCCCCTTTCCGATTGTTTGGGGCATCCAGAAAAAAGCTTGTTCAGAGAAGACAAGGTGAGCGCTACCATCAGTCCTGTGTCATGCCAACAGTAAAGCATCCTGAGACCATCCGTGTGGGGTTGCTTCTCAGCCAAGGGAGTGGGCTCACTCACAATTTTGCCTAAGAACACAGCCATGAATAAAGAATGGTACCAACACATCCTCCGAGAGCAACTTCTCCCAACCCCCCCCCCCAAGAACAGTTTGGTGACGACCAATGCCTTTTCCAGCATGATGGAGCACATTGCCATAAGACAAAAGTGATAACTAAGTGGCTCGGGGAACAAAACATCGAAATTATGGGTCCATTGCCAGGAACCTCCCCATACCTTAATCTCATTGAGAACTTGTGGTCGATCCTCAAGAGGCGGGTGGACAAACAAAACCCCACAAATTCTGACAAACTCCAAGCATTGATTATGCAAGAATGGGCTGCCATCAGTCAGGATGTGGCCCAGAAGTTAATTGACAGCATGCCAGGGCGGATTGCAGAGGTCTTGAAAAAGAAGGGTCAACACTGCAAATATTGACTCTTTGCATAAACTTAATGTATTTGTCAATAAAAGCCTTTGACAGTTATGGAATGATTGTAATTATACTTCAGTATACCATAGTAACATCTGCAAAAATATCTAAAAACACTGAGGCAGCAAACTTTGTGAAGACCAATACTTGTGTCATTCTCTAAACTTTTGACCACGACTGTACATCATAAAGGGTAACTGATTAACGGTTCTTCTTCAAATGAAACTATTCTCACTCTTGTTTTGTCCCTTGTCCCCTCTCCCCCCCTCACTCCCTTGTCCCCCCTCCCCCTCCCCCCCTTGTCCCCCTCTCCCCCCTCACTCCCTTGTCCTCCTCCCCCCCCCCTCCCCCCCCCCCCCCCCCCCCTCCCCCTTGTCCCTCCCCCCTCCCCCCCCTCCCCCTCTCCCCCTCACTCCCTTGTCTCCTCCCTCCCCCCCTCCCCCTCCTCATTGTCCCCCCTCTCCCCCCCTCCCCTCCTCCCCTCTCCCCTCCCCCTTCACCCTCCCTCCCCCTCTCCCTTCCTCCCTCCCCCTCTCCCTGCCTCCCCCCTCTCCCCTTTCCTCCCCCCCCTCTCCCGCCTCTCCCCTCCCCCTCCTGCCCCCTCTCCCTCCTCCCCCCCTCTCCCCCCTCCCCCCTCTCCCTCCCCGCCCCCTCCCCCCCCCCCTCTCCCCCTCCTCCCCCCCCTCTCCCTTGTTCCGCCCCCCCCCCCCCCCCCCCTCCCTCCCCTCCCACCTACTCCCTCCGGCCTCCCCCCCTCTCCCTTGTCCCCCCCCACCCTCACTCGCCTTGTCCTCCCTCCCCCCCCTCCTGCCCTCCCCCCTCTCCCTTTCGCCCCCCTCGCCCCCCTCCCCTCCCTCCCCCTCTCCCCCCTCTCCCTTTTCCCCCCTCCCCTCCCCCCCCCTCCCCCCCCTCCCCCCCTCCCTCCCCCCCCCCTCCCCCCCCCTCCTCCTCCCCTGTATGGTAGAGTTGTCAGCGGAGGTGGCTGCTCTCCAGTCTGCCGTTCTGACCACCAGACAACAGCTGCAGATGAAACAGAAGAGCAGCAGCCAGATCCCAGAACAGACGGACAGACGGACTGACCAGATCCCGGACCAGACGGACAGACAGACTGACCAGATCACAGACTAGACGGACAGACAGACCGACCAGATCCCAGACCAGACGGACAGACAGACCGACCAGATCCCGGAACAGACGGACAGACAGACCGACCAGATCCCGGAACAGACGGACAGACAGACTGACCAGATCACAGACTAGACGGACAGACAGACCGACCAGATCCCAGACCAGACGGACAGACAGACCGACCAGATCCCGGAACAGACGGACAGACAGACCGACCAGATCCCGGAACAGACGGACAGACAGACTGACCAGATCACAGACTAGACGGACAGACAGACCGACCAGATCCCAGACCAGACGGACAGACAGACCGACCAGATCACAGACTAGACGGACAGACAGACTGACAGACAGACGGACAGACAGACTGACCAGATCCCAGACCAGACGGACAGACAGACTGACCAGATCCCAGACCAGACGGACAGACAGACCGACCAGATCCCGGAACAGACGGACAGACAGACCGACCAGATCCCGGAACAGACGGACAGACAGACCGACCAGATCCCGGAACAGACGGACAGACAGACTGACCAGATCCCAGACCAGACGGACAGACAGACCGACCAGATCACAGACTAGACAGACAGACAGACGGACAGACAGACGGACAGACAGACTGACAGACAGACGGACAGACAGACGGACAGACAGACTGACAGACAGACAGACTGACTGACCAGATCACAGACCAGACGGACAGACAGACTGACCAGATCACAGACTAGACATACTGGCTCTGTAAGGAATATGGTGGAAACTCACTCAAGCCATGCTTACACCCCTCCAATGCTTTTAAATGCATGAGGGGGAGTGAACGAGTGTACACTTCTGCAGAAGGGTAGAGAATCGGAACACAGCCACTCTCTCCCACATAGTATAGTAGTGCACTAATTCTGTCTAGAGCCCTTTGTACAAAGGCAACGCTGTGGGAAGTAGGGGGGCTGCAGCCCCCCCGATAAATACATACAAAATATAGAAATAATAATAAAATATACTTTTTTTCTCACAAAATTGGTGAACTTTATTACGCCTGTATTAACGGAGAGAAATACTCAAGGTCCGTTGAGGTAGCAGGGGTAAAGATACAGGACCAGTCCATAGTTTGGACACACCTCCACCTACTCATTCCAGGGTTTTCTTTATTTTTACTATTTTCTACATTGTAAAATAATAGTGAAGACATCAAAACTAGGAAATAACACATATGGAATCATGTAGTAACCAAAAAAGTGTTAAACAAATCAAAATATATTTTACATTCTTCAAATAGCCACTCTTTATCTTGATGACAGCTTTGCACACTCTTGGCATTCTCTCAACCAGCTTCACCTAGAATGCTTTTCCAACAGTCTTGAAGGAGTTCCCACATATGCTGAGCACTTGTTGGCTGCTTTTCCTTCACTCTGCGGTCCGACTCATCCCAAACCATCTCAATTGGGTTGAGGTCGGGGGATTGTGGAGGCCAGGTCCTCTGATGCAGCACTCCATCACTCTCCTTCTTGGTCAAATAGCCCTTACACAGCCTGGAGGTGTGTTGGGTCATTGTCCTGTTGAAAAACAAATGATAGTCCCACTAAGCCCAAACCAGGTAAGATGGCGTATCGCTGCAGAATGCTGTGGTAGCCATGCTGGTTAAGTGTGCCTTGAATTCTAAATAAATCACAGACAGTGTCACCAGCAAAGCACCCCCACACCATAACACCTCCTCCTCCATGCTTCACGGTGGGAACCACACATGCGGAGATCATCCGTTCACCCACACCGCGTCTCACAAAGACACGGTGGTTGGAACCAAAAATCTCAAATTTGGACTCCAGACCAAGGGACACATTTCTATCGGTCTAATGTCCATTGCTCGTGTTTCTTGGCCCAAACAAGTCTCTTCTTATTATTGGTGTCCTTTAGTAGTGGTTTCTTTGCAGCAATTCGACCATGAAGGCCTGATTCACACAGTCCCCTCTGAACAGTTGATGTTGAGATGTGTCTGCTACTTGAACTCTGAAGCATTTATTTGGGCTGCAATTTCTGAGGCTGGTAACTCTAATTAATTTATCCTCTGCAGCAGAGGTATCTCTGGGTCTTCCATTCCTGTGGCGGTCCACATGAGAGCCAGTTTCATCATTGCGCTTGATGGTTTTTGTGACTGCACAAAGAAACTTTCAAAGGTTCTTGAAATGTTCCGTATTGAATGACCTTCATGTCTTAAAGTAATGATGGACTGTCGTTTCTTTTTGCTTATTTGAGCTGTTCTTGCCATAATATGGACTTGGTCTTTTACCAAATAGGGCTATCTTCTGTATACCCCCCTACCTTGTCACAACACAACTGATTGGCTCAAACCCATTAAGATGGAAAGAAATTCCACAAATTCACTTTTAAGAAGGCACACCTGTTAATTGAAATGCATTCCAGGTGAATAATCTCAAATATAACATATATTTTGATTTGTTTAACACTTTTTTGTATACTACATGATTCCATATGTCTTATTTCATAGTTTTGATGTCTTCACTATTATTCTACAATGTAAAAAATAATAAAAATAAAGAAAAACCCTTGACTGAGAAGGTGTGTCCAAACTTTTGACTGGTAGTGTATGTTGAGGTAGATATGTACATGTAGGTAGCAGGGGTAAAGATACATTGAGGTACAGTGAGGGAAAAAAGTATTTGATCCCCTGCTGATTTTGTACGTTTGCCCACTTACAAAGAAATGATCAGTCTATAATTTTAATGGTAGGTTTATTTGAACAGTGAGAGACAGAATAACAACAAAAAAGTCAAAAATGTTATAAATTGATTTGCATTTTAATGAGGGAAATAAGTATTTGACCCCTCTGCAAAACATGACTTAGTACTTGGTGGCAAAACCCTTGTTGGCAATCACAGAGGTCAGACGTTTCTTGTAGTTGGCCACCAGGTTTGCACACATCTCAGGAGGGATTTTGTCCCACTCCTCTTTGCAGATCTTCTCCAAGTCATTAAGGTTTCGAGGCTGACGTTTGGCAACTCGAACCTTCAGCTCCCTCCACAGATTTTCTATGGGATTAAGGTCTGGAGACTGGCTAGGCCATTCCAGGACCTTAATGTGCTTCTTGAGCCACTCCTTTGTTGCCTTGGCCGTGTGTTTTCGGTCATTGTTATGCTGGAATACCCATCCACGACCCATTTTTAATGCCCTGGCTGAGGGAAGGAGGTTCTCACCCAAGATTTGACGGTACATTGCCCCGTCCATCGTCCCTTTGATGCGGTGAAGTTGTCCTGTCCCCTTAGCAGAAAAACACCCCCAAAGCATAATGTTTCCACCTCCATGTTTGACGATGGGGATGGTGTTCTTGGGGTCATAGGCAGCATTCCTCCTCCTCCAAACACAGCGAGTTGAGTTGATTTCAAAGAGCTCGATTTTGGTCTCATCTGACCACAACACTTTCACCCAGTTATCCTCTGAATCATTCAGATGTTCATTGGCAAACTTCAGACGGGCCTGTATATGTGCTTTCTTGAGCAGGGGGACCTTGCGGGCGCTGCAGGATTTCAGTCCTTCACGGCGTAGTGTGTTACCAATTGTTTTCTTGGTGACTATGGTCCCAGCTGCCTTGAGATCATTGACAAGATCCTCCCGTGTAGTTCTGGGCTGATTCCTCACCGTTCTCATGATCATTGCAACTCCACGAGGTGAGATCTTGCATGGAGCCCCAGGCCGAGGGAGATTGACAATTATTTTGTGTTTCTTCCATTTGTGAATAATCGCACCAACTGTTGTCACCTTCTCACCAAGCTTCTTGGCGATGGTCTTGTAGCCCATTCCAGCCTTGTGTAGGTCTACAATCTTGTCCCTGACATCCTTGGAGAGCTCTTTGGTCTTGGCCATGGTGGAGAGTTTGGAATCTGATTGCTTCTGTGGACAGGTGTCTTTTATACAGCTAACAAACTGAGATTAGGAGCACTCCCTTTAAGAGTGTGCTCCTAATCTCAGCTCGTTACCTGTATAAAAGACACCTGGGAGCCAGAAATCTTTCTGATTGAGAGGGGGTCAAATACTTATTTCCCTCATTAAAATGCAAATCAATTTATAACATCTTTGCATGTGTTTTTCTGGATTCTTTTGTTGTTATTCTGTCTCTCACTGTTCAAATAAACCTACTATTAAAATTATAGACTGATCATTTCTTTGTCAGTGGGCAAACGTACAAAATCAGCAGGGGATCAAATACTTTGACAATGAGGACGAACTAGCTAGCCAGCTAGTTTAGCCAGGGAAAAAACAGCTCGGGCCTGGTGCACATTTGCACCAGCTGGGTTAATTCAGGTTTTATGCCCTGATATCAGGAACTGGCGGTGAAAAGGTTGATCAAACAATTCAGAGACTGAAACAAATAAATCACATTACTTTTATTTAAGGAGAGCAAATCGATATAGAATCCCAAAATCAGCTGTAACTTCCACTGTCAATAGAGCCCCACAGTGGAGGTGTCATAATACCCATAAAACCTAGCAGGCAAACGGAAATGGTTCCAATCATTTTCCCACCATACATTTTTCCCATAGGGAATTTTAGAAACACTTAAAATAAGGGCTGTGTTTCCTGTAGGCTTACCCTGGCATGACGTTTTGATAACCATGTTAAATCTCTCTCGGACAAGGTGACTTTTATCAATATATTCTGCTGTATTTACTCTCAGATTCTCAAAGGCTAATTAGCATTTGTAAGTCGCTCTGGATAAGAGCGTCTGCTAAATGACCTATTTATTTATTTTTAGCATCAAAGTAGACATCATGCAAAACTACAAATCCCTGCAAGCTCCTGAATGTCATCTCTAGCTGACACCTTTGCTAACAGGTATTGTGTCAATTTAAAACTTGCACAAGACAGTTCACAGAATTGTCAATTTATAGAAATGCAGCCAATTTATTCATTACTAAATGTAGCTAACATTAGATAGTTAATCCAGAGATTCTTACCTTTGCCTTGATTGGGCAGTCTCGTCCAGATCA